AGCACAGGAGAAGTGTGGGAAGCCAGACAGAGATCAGAGGAGAGCCCCACACAATGGGCATGGATCATCGAAGATTTCTTGGGGACCAGTTGCTGTCAATTACTGTTAGTTATGGTGACATGGAAAGATACGATGTAGATATGTGTGTGTATGTGAGGGTGGTGGGAGCATAAGGTCCATGGCTCTCGTGGTCCAGGAGAGAAGCAATCAAGCAAACCTACAAGAAAAGGAAACATACCATGTGGGCCCTTAGCAAACTAAGTGGAATCTGGCCAAGCAATAGGACAAAGAAAGCAGTGACATTCAAGGAGCGGGCAGGTGGCAGAACTTGAAGGAAGGCCAGTGATGTGAAAGGATGTAGACGTGTTTGGCAAGCTGCCCTGTAGTGCTGGGGCACTAGAGGTGAGATGTGCAGGGCGGGGACAGTGGGCTAGTCAGGGCGGGTCTGGAGGGCACTTTAGACTGAAGCCTCCCAGATTTCAGTGAGAGCACAGGCGCAGCCAGGTCCTTGTTTTAGGAAAGCACTTCTGGGAGCAGCTAGGGTAGCAGGGAGGCACTGGGCTTGCTGAGACAGAGGGACCAGAAGGGTGACACAGGTAGTTCAGAGGCAAAATACTTAGGACACCCTTGGGAGTCATTTTAGCAGAAGACCTGATTGTCTTTGGTGATGAAAATGAAAGGCAGGAGTGAAGTGGGGAGAGAGACAGACAGACAGACAGACAGAATGGAAGAACCTGAATGAAGGCAGTTTTTCACGGTGGTGCTCTCCTGTCTAGATTAGAGGCCCTGGGAGGGGTAGGAAGATGAGCTTCATGCCTGAGAAGGGTGCGGTGAGAGGATCATCCTGGGCAGTTGGGAGCTGAAACTAGAGAAAGCAAGGGTTTTCAGGGGAAGGGTAGCAGAAGGAAGGGCGGTGTGGGTGAGACCTGGGGTGTCACTGATACTTGAAGGTGGGGGAAGTGGGTGGAAGGAGACAGCCATGTTGTGGAAGCAGGAAGAGAGTTTTAGGAAGCAGAGGGAGGCGATCAAAGGTCACACGAAGACCACTAAGTCCACTGGGGAGACGCCACCGCTGCTTAGCCGTTGGGAAATCCCGGGCACACCTGCCTGGTTCCACTCCAGTGGGGGTAGCGCGAGATGATAGAGCGGAGCAGGATAAACTTGGCAGTTCTCAAGTGGGCCAGGCGTCCCCAGATCCAGATGCCTGTGGGACCATGCTGGCTGACCGAGTGCCCTGCCATTTGGTTTTATATGCATTGTACTTGGATTTTACAGCTCCACAACCTGCCTCAACTTCTTTTTATGTTAGAAACGTTGTCACTCTTGTCCCTGCTTTTTGGACTTTATTTTCTTGCATGTCTGAAGGCTTAAGAAATAAGCTCTCTGGTCATTTTCTTTGGTCCTTCCTGCCCCGCTGCCACTTCCCTTCCTCTGTCCTCACCTTCTCCTACCTCCTCTCTCTCTCTCACACATGCAATTCCTGGGCTGTGTCCTCTGAAAGTACCCGAACTCTTCATTATGGTTTGGTTTTGATATTTTTAATTAGGTTTTTTGTAAAGGGAAAGTGTCTGTAAGTGATTTCTGTTTATTGAAAGAACAATAACAGATTGTGCTAATTCTGTGTTCCCTAAGACGGGAGTGCTCTGTCTCAGGAAAGCTTCAAGGGGAGAGAGGTGCATTGTTTGGTTAAGTGATGAAGCCAGTGGACTTGTACTCTCAGAAGTGACAGCAGCTCTCCTGGCAGGACAGGGCTGACCTATTCACACTGTCACCTTCAGGCTTCGAAGCCCTGCTCCATGGGAGCAGCCAGCATCCTTCCAGAATCCTCTACTGAGAAGACCTCTGAGAGCTGGGAAACACACTTTTGTTTTCTGCCCGCTACTATATCTGCAGCTGAGTTCTGCATTCTCAGTCGAAAGTGCAGCTGACTGTAACTTCTTGGGTGCTGGGGTTGCAGAAAGAATTGGATTAGTTGATGTATGCCAGAGCACTTCATAAATACCAAGTGTCACATGCCACTTGGCACCCTGAAGTAAGTCATGATTTCTCTTTTCTTTGGGGAGATTACAAGTGAAAAAGCTTGCCAATTCATTATGTTTCCATTCTCAAGCAATGCCATGGAGTAGATGCATACAGACTTTTTATCTTTTTTATTTTATTTTTTGTGGTAGTGGAGATATACCATAAATGTTACCAATTTAGTCACTCCAAAGTGTGCAGGTCAGAGTTGTAAGTGTATTTAATTGCTGTGCCACCATCACCAGCATCTGTCTCCAGGACTTTTCCATCAAGCAGAAACTCTGCCCCAGTTAACAGGGACTCCTCATTCCCCTTCCCTCCGGTGCCTGGCAACCACCAGTCCTCTTTCTGTGTCCAGATTTGACTACTCTAGGGACTTCACCTAAGTGGCCTTGTGTTGTATTTTGACTTTTTGTGACTGGCTTAGTTCAACCAGCACCACACCCTCAAGATTCATCCGTGTTGTAGCGTCTGTCAGAACTGATTTTCTTTGGAAGGATCAGTGATATTCCTTTGTATGAATAGAATGTATTTTGTCTGTCTGTTAGATGTCTGTCTATCCCCAGATACTTGTGTTGCTTCCACCTTTGAGCTGTTGTGGCTGATGCTGCTAAGAACGTGTGTACACATCTCTGCTCAAGCTTTCATGGCTTTGGGGGCTTTACCTGAGAGTGGCCTCCATTGTAAAAGGAGGCGACTATATCTTTGGCCTTGTAATTTCTGGGGATTCCTTGTCCCCCTGGGGCCTACCCTGAACCCTTTCTCAGGTACCTGCCTGGCTGAGCTCCTGAGTGTTCTATCCTCACTCAGGCCCACGGATGGTCTATCTGTCCTATAGGCAGAGAGAGTCTTGGTGCAGGGACACCACTGTGCCCCCTTGTTTTGGTTCCATGCAGTAGCCTAGCACTGCCAGCTCTGAAGACTTCTCAGCCCTTAAAGGCTAGGAGCTCACTTCTCCCTGTTTTCTAGGAGGGACTGATCCACAGAGCAAGGAAGCACTTCTCCCTGTGGATATGTGATGTTTCCAGCTGAAGGTAGCCTCTTAATAAAAGCAGAATGTTTCTTCTGCCATGGCCTTGGTCCCTGTCTGTTGCTGGCTGCAGATTCCCTAGAGAAAAGTATAGGTATGTGCAGGACTGGGCAAGGAGAACCAGCAGGAGAAGCCTGACAGCAGCCCTGGCAGGTGGTTGCTGATGCCAAGGGCTTCTCTGCCTTCTGGGAAATGGATGTAGTACCTCTGATAGGCTAATAGGCTGAGGAGCGAGGCCACTGTGGTACCGTCAGCATTAGGGACTCAAGTGGAAACTAAAAGCAGAGTGGAGTACCTGGCATCAAATCACTCCTGGTCCTTCCCCACTTTTTTCCCCCTAGGCTCTGAAACAGCCCTTGTTCCCTTCTGGGTAGCAAGAGGAGAGAACATTTCCAGGTCCAGCATTCAGGTTCATCTGTCAGATGGCTCCATCTTCGTCTATCCAGGTCCAAGGTGGGGGGGGGGGCATGAAGCTTGAGTCAGGTGCTCTGAATTTGTTATTTTAGCCTGAAGCCATTGGCAGTGACTCGTGTTATTGGGGCTTCCTGATTCTGTGTGCTACTCTTTGATAAATCTGTTGAGGCTTTTTTGTGTATTCACAGTTAATGATTATTGTTCTGGCTGATTCTGGAAGCTTGGCCATCCGATTTTTTGGAGGGGAGAATGTTACTCCTTTATCATGTATAGATTTGAGTGAAGATCCTTGGTCTGAAGATTTCTGTTTGGGTGTTTTGTGGAGTGGCCGTCTTCTGTCCCTCTGGTCTGTGTGATTCAACATGGACTGTGACAGTAGAAGGAGTCCCCTGAGGCTCATGTTCCAAGAGGATCGGTACCCTGCAGCCCACAGTCAGTTCCACTAACTGGATAAAGGTGTCTTTCACTGAAAAGTATTTTAAAAATATATGTATTCATCTTCCTCTGGCTCTGTCAGATGGGGAAGGAGAAGGAGGAGAGAAGAGTATGTTTTCCTTGCTCAGGCATTGCTTTGCTTGTGGCCAAAGTGTGAGGACTCTGAGGGTTGGTCTTGGAGCGATGCTGGTGCTTCCAGTGGCGTCTTTGGTCACTGGAGAGTTTGTCTCCCATCATGCTGCAGAGGACCCATCTTTGGCTCCCTCTGGGGAATCAGAGCTGCTCCTGACCTGGATGTGTGAGGCACTGTTGCCGTGACCCGGAGGAAGTGGGAGAGACTGCCCCTGGGTGACAGTATTGGGGGTTCTGCCCTGCTAGGAAAAAGGGGCCTATCTGGTCCCATACACCCTGGTTTTGATGCATTGCTCTGCTGTTGCCGAATTAAATTGATATTTTCAGGCAGGAAAATTTTCCCCACTGTGTGGCCCTTGTTTGTTTGTTTGGTTTGAAAAGGCAATAAACTACTTAAAGAAAACTCGCCTACCCTTAGCGATTAATTAACCCACGTCAATACCACGTGTTGTACCAGCTCACACTGTAATTACAGCCTTACCTATCATGAAAATTAATTCAGTGTTTGAGAAGAGTTCTGAAATCATTGCTGGATGAAAGGCCTGTGGGGAACCTGGGGATTTCAGTATGGCTTTTTAGCCTGCATGGCCGGGTGAAGACTGACAGCTACTGATGGATCCAGTCTTTTCTGCAGAAGGATCCTCCCTGGGGTGGGAGAGTGCTCCTGTTTATTCTAAAGGGACAGCATGCTGGTTTGACAGGGTGTCAAGAAGACCTATCAAGTGACCAGCCTGCGGCCACCTCTATGGTCCCTCTGGACCAAACCTGTGGCAATACCTGTGGTCTCTTTGCATGAGTGCACACCTGCCCTTGTGTTTAACTGCATAAAGATATTTGGTAAGGAAGTATGCTGGGTGGAGATATGGTTGGTATTGCTGATATTGCTCAGACATTCATATTGGGGTTAGAGGAGCGATTATAAAATCAGAATGCCTGACCCTGAGTCTTCTTTTCTCCCCTTTGTTCACAGTGGGGCCTTTTCTGAAGTGGTTTTAGCTGAGGAGAAGGCAACTGGAAAGCTCTTTGCGGTGAAGTGCATCCCTAAAAAGGCGCTGAAGGGCAAAGAAAGCAGTATAGAGAACGAGATTGCCGTGCTGAGAAAGTAAGTACCTAGAGCACCAGTCCTGCTGCCTGCCTGCCTGCCTGCCTGTGGGTCCTGCCAGGTGCCTGGCGCCTGAGGGACTGGTGGCAAGATTGGAAGTGGTCACCAACCCCTGGCCCAAAGATGCTGAATGCTCTTCTCGTGTAGGGCTATCTGAGTACTCTCTGGCGACCCGATTTCCCTGTTAGCATCCAGGCAATCATGGAGGAGTTCTGATTTCCAAAGAGCACAGCTCTCCAGCAGATACGATTTTTGAGCTTAGACCCTGCCATTCACTCTAGCTGATGACCCTGGGCCTGTTCTCCCTAGCCTGCGTCTGCCCTGGAAGCAGAGCTCATGCCATCCCCTCCCAGTGGGTGCTGAGGACTAAGTGAGATGCTGCTCACCAGGTGTCTGTGATGTGCGTAGCACAGCACTACTGTGCAGTATGGGTGGCTGCTATACCCCCTAACCCCTGCCCGGGACCATTATTGTTATTGCTATCCAAAGCCTCATTATGTGGTGCTCCTGTAGCTGAGCCTGGGATGCCCACACTTATAGAGTTGTTTCTACATTTTGTGATCTCCTTCCATACTCTGCACTACAAGCATGGGCTCCCAGAAGTTTCTGTGAAGTCTTCCCTGGTATGATGACAAAGACAAACCACCCTCATGTGGCTGGACTCAACCTGGGATGATCTTTTAGCATCCTGTCTGGCCCTGTTCCTTACACCATCAGAGCTAAATCCTTCTGTCGTATCTCACAAAATTTGGGAGAATCAAAACCTTATATAGTACCTGCTTTTGCATGTTTGGCATGAATATGAACAGTGTGCTATGGAAACTTTTGAGTTGCTATTAATAAAAGATGTTCAAAATATCCGTGAAATTTTTGGGGTTTGGAATCAGCACATAGCAAGAATCCCATCACAGATAAGCACAGCTAAATGGGAACAAACCTTCTAGGGCCTCAAAGAAAATGTCACAGCCTCCACATTCTTATGGATAAGCCATCTCTTACTTTTCTGGGGTCAGCAGTGTCCCATGGAAGGATGCTTTGCCCTCAGTCCAGACTCAGCACCACTGAGCTGGTCAGGATGGCCTGTCCTGTTCTGACATTTGTGTGACTCAGAGAAGAACCCACAGCATTTTCCACGTGTGTTCCAGAACAAACGGGGCCCTGTAGCTTTCTGGGGTCAGGGTTTTAGCTTATTAGTTTGTTTGTTTGGTTTCTAGGCTCCCTGGATTGTCTATTAGGGACCCAAAGAGTTTCAGATTGTCTCAAGGAGGATTGTAGGAAATGATTCTATGGATGAGAGTCTGGGAAAACAAATTAAGAACATTAGCATTAAGCAGCCAAACACCATGTTAATGAAACATTTATTTAAATTACCCATCTTCCAATATGAAATCCATGCTCAGAGAAGTGATTCACTGGTGACATGAAGTTACTGATGCTTACAGCTATTTGACATTTTAGATGGAATTCTGAGTGGGTCTAGAGCCTTCCGGACATTGGTTTCAGGCACAGGGGCTGCCGCACAGAGGATGGACCTTTGTTTTTTGTGACTCCCTTCTGTTCTCGAAAGTAAAACTGCTGAGGCAGTCAGATTCAGAATTAGTTTCCAGGCACAGAGGCAGGGACATGTAGGCTTTCTAAACTGGGCTTGTTTACGCCATGGATGGTCACCTTTAATTAGGGTCTCCACCCTATGCTCCCTTCAGATCATCGCATCCTTGGAGAAGCCACTCACAGCAGGGAGGGGCAGGGATTGGGAGCAGCTGGTTTTGATAATTTCTCACTATCAGTTGTTGTACTATGTTGAAGCAGGCTCCTCTTTCTGAGATAAAGAAGAAAATGATTTCTCAGGGGATAGGAGGTGATTTATCTTCCGTATGGATTTTTCAGGCCTCTGCAAATGATTTACAAGTAGGATAAGTGGAAGCTCCACATCACAAGTAGCTGAAAGAAAAGCATGTGAGCTGCAAAGAGAATAGTTTGGAGCCCCTCTTGGAATGTTATCCTTTGAGAAGTTTGCTTATTAAGTTTTCAGCGTGCGGCAGGCAGCGCAGTTAGATACTGAGTTTCTGAAGGTGTCATTGTTTGCCTTCTGTGATCTAACAGTTTTGTCACTAATTAGTGCAGTAAAGTTGAGGATGATGTGAGATAAGCATGGCCAGAGGCCCAAGGGTTGAGATGCTCAGTTCTTTCTTCATGATGAGGTTGAAGGCAGATTTCATGGAACAGAAATGACCCAAGTTAATAAGTATGTTTTGCCAGGTCAGAAAAGCAAAGGGAAATTTCTAACTAGTAGAAGCCAATCAAATAGAAGTTAGGAGATGAGGGATAATTGGCCAGTGTTCAGGAGACTCTCAGTGGCTTGTCTTGATGAGGAAAATGAGTTCCAGGAAAGGCCTGGGAGTCCTAAGGTTAGAGACAGAATTATAGAGGGTCTTACATATTGTGCTTTGAGCTTTGGACTCTACCTGCTGGACACTGAGGAGCCATGAAAGGCTGATAATGAAAGGAAAATTGTGATTAAAATTTTTCATGAAGATAATTATGGCACAATTTAGATGGTTATGTTGAAGAAGACAGGATTCAGCATGTGGAGGGAGAACAGGAAATCACTGGAAGAATCAGGCAAAAAATTAAAGCAGGGGCTATAGATTTGGAATGGAAGAGATACAGGGATTTGAACAGAGTGGTATCTCTAGGATTTAGAGGTTTGGAGGGGCACAGAGAATGGCAGGAGGTGCAGAATGCTGAGTAACTGCAGGTTTTTGATGGGGTTGACTGGATGGATAGTGACCTCATTAACAGGTCAGAAATAAAAGGACAGGACATGTTCTGACTTGGACATGGTGAGTGAGGTGTCTTGGGATGTTCACATAGAGAACTGGGCTTGCTGGGTGTTAAAATGTTCTGAAACAACATATTAAGTTGAGTCTTCTGGTATGTAGTCACCATAGATGGGGTCCCAGCTAGCCCTGCTTTGTTCTGAGATATTCTCTGGTCATTATGTATTTCCACAATGATGGTCACCTAAGGATGCTCATTTGAGAGGCTATTTGCCCTCCTACATGGCAAGTTTATTATAGGGTAAGAGATTTACTTATTTCATTGGATAAAAGCAATGTAGCTAATATATCCTTGTGGTTGTCTTTGTACTTGCTCTGAAAATAGTTCCAAAATGAATTTTCTACTTGATAAGTAGATATTAAACCAAGCTCAGGGAAGAAAAAGCAAACGTGATAAGCATTCGGTAGGCTGTTGCTATGCAGCCAGGGTAGCTGCTGGCCCGACTTGGTGTTCAGTGGGCTGGATCTGTGTGATTCATCACAAGCCTTTCCAGACGGAATGTAGCTGCAGTCCACGAAGGGAGTGTTTTCTACAGCGTGGAATTTATCATCGTCAGTGTCACACACCTTGGGTACATTACAGCTTATGGTTTCTGTGGATTTATTTACTTAGAAGGCAAGCACTCCTCAAATCTAATTTCAAGGCAACACAGAAAATGCTTTTCCAGGAGCAGAGAGGCAGATATATACATGAAAGACAGAGAAGGAGAAGCATGAAACTGGAACACAAAAGACAGGAGAAACAAAAAGAGATGTATTAGAGTAGCCCTAATAGCTAGGGAAACTGAGGCTTGCACTAGTAAAGAGTACCGTCTGGATGAAAAATAGCACCAGTATTGCACATGCTGTTCTGATGATTACTTTGGAATTTGCAGAGAACTGTTGGGCCTTGGAGAAGGGGCTTTAGGCAGGAAGTCATGTGTCTTGTACCTTGGGGAGTCTCAGCTAGTGGTCTCTGTTTGTTTGTTTATTTATTTATTTATTTATTTATTTATTTTGGTGCTGGGGATTGAACTCACAACCTCACCGCACATTTGCCAAGCAGGCACTTACGCTGCTGAGCTAAACCCCCAGTCCCCTGCTGTAGCTTTCTCTAAAGCATTGATTCTCATTCTTGGCTGCATGTTACCATCATGGAGGAAGCTTTTAAGGACATACTAGTGCTCAGACTCATACTTAGGCTAGGTTAGTCCAAATTAGAAGCTATGGTGGGGTGTTTGGATAGTTGAAAAAGCACTCACCCCCACCCAGAGAGTTTAACCCACAGTCAACTCAGTGTGGAAACAGTTGCTCCCAGGTCGTACCCTTGGTCTCATTTCCCAGGAGGTGACCATCTCCTTGTTGTTCCCCGAGTACAGATGCATGCAGGGCCACGTCATAGGCCATCTTTCCTTTAGATGAGATGTTCCATGGAGAGGAAGACTAAAAGTACTTTCTCCAAGTTTTGTTTATATGAATTGATTTTCATTCATATATTTTTCATTTATGTGAACTGATTTGAGTTCATCACCCCAAGACTCAGTGAGAAGCAGTTACCACATACTGTTTTGCTCAAGGATGAGGACTTGCTCCGAGAATTGCCCAGGGAGTAATGGTAGTGATAGTGGCTCCTGGGCTGAAAGAGCTGGCATACAGGTTGGTCAGGTTACCCCAGTGTGGTGCTGAGCACACTGTCAAGTGGGGTCATGGCTGTTAAGGGCAGCAGGTGTCAAAGCCCCGGATGCTGGGCTGGAGCTCCTTGTGGCCTAAGTCAGGATGGCTGGCAGGAAGTACGGAGAGCATGTTGATACCAGGAATGTGAGTGCACAGTTCTCCAGAGGCCAGAGCAGCACTCAATCCTCTGTTCCCTCAGGCCAGGCAGCACAGGAGGATAGACAGCATCTGTACCCCAAGAAGAGGCTGCCTGCTTTGGGATTAAGTAGCAGCCTTCAGAGAAAGTGAACTTGCTGACACCTGACTTGTTCTTGTAGCCTCCTTCTGATAGGAAACTCATTCTGTTCACTTATTTAAGTCACTGCCGGTGCATTATGTGTATTAGAGAAACATACACATCATGGAAAGATATTGACTGGGGTGAACAGAACCACTTTCCAATGACTGAAAATGGCTAAGCTCTGGTAAAACTGCCACTTGAGTTTTGCATGCACCAAGACAGCTTTT